CGATGCGACATGGCTTGGCTGGCTTGGATGGAAGGATCACCTGTCTATCTATAAAAGGTTTGCTAAAAGCGTCACTTAAGTTTAGCGAGTTAAGTATAAGATGTAAGATTTGGATAAGTCGATGTAGATCGACATACGTTATCGATAACTTTGTCTAAGAATTTGCGATGCTTTAGTTCTTTTGATGCACTATTTCACCAAATCTTCTATTATTTTTAGCCTTAGAGAGTGACATTAGGAATGATTGATGAGGACAGGTAAGTAGATGTATGAGGGAGCATAGAATAGAATATTATGACTTTTCGAAGGTTTGCTTTTAACTTAAAAATGAAATCTACGCTGAGCACTGCTGCATGCGCAGATTGGCAAACATTCGTCGGTCTGTTCGTAGAGTGATGTAGCATACGGATATTTATTCGGATACATATAGGAATATTGTTGACAGAAATGCTTCCATCCTTGTTAAAGCCATTGGAAAAATGTCTACATTCATCGCTCATCATGCAATCATTCAGGGAATCCTTTGAGTAAATGCTTTTCAGAAGAATATTTTCCCCTTATATCCGTTATTCGAATGCTTTTGAAGAAAAAAAAAAAAAAATGCCTGGTCAACCTCATACTCCCTTCTACTCTATCTAATTTATTTTTATTTTCGTCTTAGGATTAACAACAATAGCACTTACATCATAAAATTTATGACATTTTTTTTCAAATATTTTTTTGCAATATTTCGTTATCCACAATAAGCTTCGCAAGCATGGTCTTATTAAAAAGAAAAATAGATATAGAATGTGTTCATAGTTCACCCAGTGACCTTAAACTCTGTTTTAAGATAAAATACAATAAGTTTTCTTAAACTGTATGCGAGGACGATATACGTGTTTCTCTACGTGTTTCCCATCTCCATGCCAGCAGTCATGTATTTCTTTGTAATCATGTATCCTCCCGAACATCGCTGCAGTAGTCATTGTATATGGCACATGCACATCATATATACATGCTTATATATATGCTTATAAAAACGAACAAGATTGCTAGTTGTTGTTGTACTGATTTTATTGCACTGTAAAGATTTAATACTTTGACTTTAATTCTATTTTTTTTTTTTTTTTGAAAAAAATTGAGAATAGAAGAAGAAAAGACATAAGAGGACGCATGTTAACATTTGAAATTAAACAGAATAATAAGCATAGATAACATAGAGTAACGTTTAAGTTAAGTTAAGGTATAATAAATATACAAAAAAAAAAAAAAAAAAAATTTACTCGCTTTACTGCTTTTACACGGTTGACTGAATACTTTTGCTTATGAATGATTTCTTTCGTATGCGGTATCTATCAAGGGGCACTTTTAAATGAATGCCGGACAATATAAGTTGTCGACGGGCGCAGATGGCTGTACAGGTGGGCTGTGCTTGGTTGAATATTAAAAATCATTACCACTATCAACTTAATGATAGCCATTATTATTCAATACATTAGTTGCGTTTCTCTTGGTATTCGTAAAAGTTTATTCGTTGCTAAACTAGGCTGGGAATTATTCGCTTTAAATACCTTATGCATGTTTACATAAACTTACTGCACTTACGTGCTACACACTCAATCAATATCTGATCATATATATATATATATATATACATAAAACAACACCCATCTGTTTTCAGATTACACACGTCTATATTTACATACATGGTTAATATAAAGAGCATTCTGAGAGCTCTTGTTGATATATTATATTAAAAGTTATTGCAACATTTATTGTCTCTTGTAATGTTTATTAAAACGTTTTCTGTTAAACGAAATTCATTTGTTTATATTAAGTGGAATATAATTCCCCTAAGCTGCAAAGTGATGTCTGTGTCCACAATCACAACTTGTTTGTTTGGTCAGAGATTTTCTTACGAACTCTCAGGCAACAGTAGAGTAACCTGTAACAGTAACATTTAGTGTGTTATTTTTAGATGAAAACACTTTACCCACTTTTTTTTATTTATGAAAAAGTAAATAAAGTGTAAGCGATTTTCCAATTTAGCTGAGAAATTCCTATGGCGTTAATTACTTTCGCGTTCCTCTTAATCCACATTCGCAAAGTAATAGGTAAAGGAAATTTTCTAATCAGTTTAAATACGTACGACATTTTTTATTGAAAAATAACATTAAGTGGACATAAATAACAACTAGAAGACATTTAGTAGACAAATAGTAGACAATTAATCTTAAGCCATAAGGTTAGCCTCACTTAAAATAATTTCAAGTTTAAGAAAAGGTACAGAAAACATTATTCCTTCTTGTACTCGTATTGTTCTCTTCAAGCTTTACTTAAATATATTTGGAGATCTGTAAAACATGTTCTTACATATATATTCTTGTACAATAAATATTATCCATTGTCTACGAAATTGTATTGAAATTAAACAAATACGAAAATTATATTTAGATGTGACCGAATCCTTTCTACACTCATCATCTTTATCCTGAAAACAAGAAAAAAATAAAACGGATAAGAATATTATAACCAGCCAAAGCCAATTATTAGATTACTGTAATATCTTCTGCCGAGCTTCAATGTCCAATATGGACGAGTTTCTAATCAGACCCCATTCATTTTCTTTTTGCAATCAACAAAGTTAGACAAAGTGTTAGCCCAATATCTGCCATAATATCTGCAATAAATTATAAGGTTTTATTTCTTTTCTGGACTCGCTTTCAAGTTCATTTGGTTAAAGTGCTTTAGATTGGCCAACTAACAGCAAACCTCAGACTATTTATTTTAAAAAAGTGATCTTATTTACCTTAACATCTTAGCTAGGGACTATTTTAGAGGTGGCTATATGGGATATTAAAAACTTATGAAAAAAGCATAATATTCGGCTGTGGACAACGTTTATCTTACTTTAGATACTAGTATTATTATTATTATTGTTGAGACGATAGCCTGTGTTGCTAGTGCTCAATGTCTTTTTTTTTTAGTCTAAGAATTTATTATATATAATAATAATATTATTATTATTGTTAATTTTGCCAGAGAAATAAATTCTAAGACTAAACTTTTAAAGCGCTAGCATCTAAGGCTGTCGCCTTTTATAAAAAACTCTACCGCACTTGAGATTCGAACCCACGACCATTGAGTTGCTAGTTGAGTTTCCTCGCCTTCGGCAACTCAGGCGGAATAGATACTAGTAAAAATGTTAGGGTCGATCAGGCATCGCTACTAAACACCTTACAACACTTCGCCAAATATAATACTCCGATCCTTACATGAGACCATGCATTCCTTTCGTTGAAGACTTTAACTGGAAGCAGGAGCCCAAAACTTGAACTAACATAATTCAAGTTGAGGCAAATTTGATTTCCTTTCCAAAGATTTTATTAGTCTTCATCTATTTTAACCGTCAAGTATTAAAATTTAAACTTTTTTAACTATATAAAGATCTATGTAGAGTAGAGCCCAAAAAGTCAGTATACGTGCTTGAAATTTATTTGTGTACATTCAACTAATGTACGCTAATTTTAATTATAGAATATCGAAGTTTAGACCTTTTTGCGTCGTGAAGATATATATAGTTTTTCTAAAATTGGTGTAACGGGTAAGCGTCTATAATAGCCCTCTCTGTCTATCTGAGTAATTATCGATGGACTTTATTATTTTTTTGGGACACTCTCAAGTGCCACTTGAAGAGGATCGGGGTTTGTAGAAACGGGAGCACGTGCCATTGCTGAGCTATCTAGTTTCAGACGGTTACATCTAAAATAAATACACTTGCTTTACCCTTATAGGCATAAATGGACCTACCTACTTACCGAACGGGCGGTTCCATTCTATAGCCCTAAGCCAATTTCTAACTTACCTTACCTATGGTCTTCTTCGGCCCATGATTTGCAATGCGAGCACCGAGCTAACTTTATTGCACACTTTTTACAATTTAATTATTTTTCTTCCTCTTTTTAAATTAATTAACAATAATTTTAAAAACTACTTTTCCTTTTATTTATTTTTTTCAAGTCCTTGATTAAATATTACTTCTCTTAATCATCACTAACAAACTTTTAGGAATTTTAGGAATCCTTCTCGAAATTTTTTCTTAGCACAGTCGTTCAAAGCTCTTTCCTTTCGTTCAGTTTTCTCGTTTTCCATCCGTCCTATTCTTCGCTAAACGAGTGAAATTAACAAACTCATCTACTGCAGGGTTGTATTTGTGGCAAGTATTACGACATTGCGTTTCGTTCACAAAAATCGCCCATTAGGTTTAAATTTCTCATATCAATTTAGTATGCTAATATAGTATTACTATATCCAATGACTCTTTCAAAATTATTCAAGTCTACTACTTATAAAGATGGATCATTTTCAAGACGAATTAAGCTAAGTGATAGGTTAATATATGGTCAAGATCTTAGATAAATAGAGAGAGCGAGCGGCAGACGGGCAGAATCGTTCGTTATAACAAAAGGCAGATCCTGTTTAAGTACTTCTACCAAGTGTAGATAATGAGTATAAAGTGAGTAAAGACTGGCAGGCCGACATTCAGTTTAATATTTATCAAGAGTATATATATATCCTTGGAAGATCTTCAAAGCTCCCTTCTGGGTTACGTTAAATACAAATATATGTGTTCAAGATGTCGGATAAACAGACAGAAAGAGAGGCAGACGAACAGAATCGATCGTTATAATAAAACCTCTCCCAAGTGGCATAGAGCACGATAATGAGCGTAAAGTGAGTAAAGACTGGCAGGTCGACATTCAGTTGAATATTTATATATATTGGAAGATCTTCAAAGCTTCCTTCTGAATTTGGCAAATATTTTGACAAATTGAATGCACGTTTCTCCTTCTGCAGTTTCTAGAAAAAATAATTGTACTTAAGCGAAATGTCTTATAAGCTTTAGAAAGGACAAATACCATTATCCCTTATCCTGTTTTTAATTTTCACTTATATGCTTAATTATTATTATTATTATTTTTAATTTTAGACTAATGAAATGAATTCTTAGACTAAAAAAAAGACATTGAGCACTAGCAACACAGGCTATCGGCTCTATGCTTAATTATACTTTTATACCTTTAACTAGTTTCAAGTGTGGTTGATGCTTTCTGTCAACTTTCGTAGATGCTAATAATACGATAACATTTCAAATGTAAATTTTCTTCTCTTTGTTTTTTTTTTTTTTTTTTTGTTCATTATATTTTAATGTTGATTAATGTCCAATCGGCTGCTGGTTCATCTTTATAGATTTATTATGGTGTACGGCGGCGCGGTGTATTCAGTTACTTCGAACACATTTTTGTTATCTAATAGCTCTTCATAAAAATCTCACATGAATTCATGCTGATGCTGATGTTGCTGGCAGCGAGCACTTGTCAAAGCCACATCAATCATGTCCCCTTGAACATTTTTTGCGTTAATTACACCGTTGCCGCCACTATGATTATGATTACCATTAGGTACCGTTGTTATAGCCGTTTCCTGAAGGCGACTAGAAAAATGTAATCAAATGGAATGACACATAATGTTAAGCGCAAGCTACAACGAGTTTGTCTGACAGCAAAAAACAAAAAGAACTGCAATCATAATAATAATAATCAACCTTACCTTCTAATAGTGCTGCGCGATAAACGCGACAAACTTGAATGATAGTATCTTTTGGATGTTGTACTCGTTAGCGTTGTATTGCGATGCATGCACATGGTGTTATCCTTGTGTACGATATTTCGAGAGCAATTGTCCTGACAGCACAAGTATCTAAATATAAAAACAGTAGAAATAAAAATAAGAAGCAGAGAGAGAGTGAGGGAGAGAGAGAGAGGGGGGGGGGGGGAAGTGGAGAAAAGTAGTGAAAGAGAGGGAGAGAGGGAGTAGTGGGAGAAATGTTTCTTAACAATTCCTTTTATTTTATTACACGAAAAATGTTTCTTTGCACGAAAGCGGCATGCATTCCATTTAAAAGGCAATTTGTTCGTCTGTTTTTCTTTTTATTTATTTTCATTTAAGATTAACGCATACGTGATGTCGTTGTTGTTGTTGTTTGATAGTGAATAAACAAATACCTATTAAAATGTTTACGAAATGCTCCGCTAACCAAATATAAAGCCACCGGATTAGCGCAACTGTTGGCGAAAGATAAACAGAAACCCATTATACGTAAAACATGCCAAAATGTATTGTAGTCTCGTTGAGCTGTCGGCCTGCAAAAATAGAAATAGAAACCATTATAGATGGCTAGTTGACGAGAAATGAGCTGAAAAGTCCTCGGACTTGCCATTAAACGTGATACACAAACCCACACATTTGCCATACATTTCAAGTGCACAGAATAATTATTATTGGTAGATGCCCTAAAGAATGAATGTTCCTGGTTGTGCTTAGTAGATTTGGATTGTCCCCCAGTCCGTCCAGAACGATTTTTTTAAAAGAACAAATACTACATTTTTCTTTTCTACTGCAGTTGGATTGCTTTCAAAAGTCACATCGGCCCATGGATGCAGACATTTTCAATTCTCTTCTAACTTATCGCCTAGAAATTGTAGAATTTTTATTTTTAATTTCCCCTTAATCAAAAAATAAATGAAAATATTTTAGTTGGGCTAGGCCGACTATTAAATGCCCTACACTGCATTGTATGACAATTTTTTTTTTGCCGTGAAATACAAAAATTATATATTATGATATATAAAATTATAGTATGGAGCCGTACATTAAAAATTAGACTTCTTTGCAGAAAAAGGCTTACCTTTCGTAAAAATGGATGTGTCGAAAAGGTTGGAAAATTGACATACCTGATCAAAATTCAGCATAGTTATACGAAATTACTATAATGGGTCGGTCAATTTTCATAGTAACATTATAAACATTATAAAGCTTAGACTTTTCTATCCTAAAAAAAAAAAATTCTTTTTGCTAATCCTTATATAGGGTAGGATCTAAAAATAGGTCGCAAATTTAATTTTTATATCAAATTACTATTAAGGATCAACTTTCACTCTAACATATAAATTTCAACTTTTCTGTCCTACAAAGGATCAATTTTCATTAAAATTTATATATAAGATAGGCTTCAAAAAATAGGCCGAGATGGTCCACTATTGGTTCAGTTAATTTTTATATCTTAAATTATTGTATTGTTATGATCTGATTTTTCGTTTATGAGTTTCATTGTAAGTGAGGAGATTTAAAAAATTGCCTTAGCCGATCCGAAGTTTTCATACCAATTTAAAATGTCAAAATACTACTACTTAGCCACTGTCGTCGAGAAGTTTTGAAAATTTCAATTTTTTCCATATAAGCGTTTTCCGAATAAGGCGTTATAAGGCGAGAGTGGACGATTCGGACTATTTTCAATAGGGTTTATTCTTGGCTCAAAATATGTCAGTGTACCGATATCTCAAATATCTTAACAATTGCGACGTGCTTGAACAAAAATTTGCACGGGCAGATATCGGAAGAACAGACGGGAAGGCGGGCATATATCAATTCAGAAAATGATTCTGAATCGCTCGGTGAGTGAGTCTATCTTAAGCGCTCCAGCGTGTTACATACAGAGCAAAAATTTATTATTGTTGTGTCTATTGGAGTCTCCAAGTGATGAGAAAGAAAGTCTAAATTTTTGACATTTGAAAGCAGAGATCTGCGCAGTCTATATTGCACTGTACGGGGATCTCCCATGACTTCTTGCAAAAAATTGAAATGTTTTTGCTAAATTGCGGAATATATTTAATACCAACAAGAGACAAACACGAACATATGGACATATCCAGATGTTGTCTTGGTTTATACGACGGGTACGCTGCCTGTTGACGATGGATATAAATAAATTTATGTTTTCGTAATTGTCCTGAGACTTTTCACTCATATTGTTTTGAAAATTATTATAATAATGTGTCGCACAATGTGCGCGATACGACTGAATGAGTGCCATAGAGAACACTTACCAATAATAAAACCATAACATGGAAACATGTATTGGCAGAAAACAAACGCCAAATATCACTACAAATGCTAAGACAGTTAATGCCACTTTACGTCTCGCACGTATCTTAGCAATAATAATGATTAGTTTTTTGAACAAAAATTTTAATATCGAATATTCATTTTACCTGTCTGACAGCACCTTGCATTTCACCCGGCACATGAGCGGTAAACATAAGATGACGTGCTATGAGCACATAAAAAACACTAATTATAATGAGCGGTACGGCATAGTAAACTAGAAAACGTAATAAAATCATTGTTTTAGCATAATCTTGGCCCCACTCTTCAGGAAACGGATAACATGTCGAGAAGGATTTGTTGCTATTGATGTAGAAGGACTGTAAGAGAGAGAGAGAGAGAGAGAGACAGCAGATAATGTTTTCCATTTATTTATTCGCATATACGTTACATACCTTAATATGTGTAGTAATTAGAGCAGGTAAGCCACAGATAATAGCCAAAATCCATATCGATATTGCTATAGCAATTGTAATACGCGTAGCTCCTTTACTACATCCTTATGTGACGAATGATATTAAGATTCACGTTTTTGCAATGGTTATTGGCGTTCGACAAAATCGATTTATTTAACAGTTATATGAAAACGGGATGGCATCGTTTTACATAATGATTTAAAGCTTTTGCTACATAATACATACCATGGGCGTGGAATTTCCTAAAAGGATCAACTATAGCAAAATAACGATCCCCGGATAAAGCTGTCAATGTGAATACTGATACGCCGATTGAGACATCTTTAAAGAATTCCGATAATGTGCACAAAAAACTACCCCAAGGCCAAGATTCCACAGTATAAACTGTTGAAGTTAATGGTACCGTGGTGACAATAACTAAGAGATCAGCTAATGCCAGAGAAAATATATAACTGTAGGGAGAGAGAGAGAGAGAGAGAGAGAGAGAGAGAGAGAGAAAGAGAGGGAGAGAGATAAATAATAGTAGAGCAAACACATAAGTGAGCATATTTGAGATAGCAATTAAAACTTTTCAATTTACTACCAGACCTACTGGAATTCAAATTTCTACCAAAGTGTGTCATTTCACATTTCACACCCTTGGAATTGCCATAATCGCCAATATCGGACTTGGCACAATCGATTAACAATAGAAAGTCAGAAGATCACTAAAAAGTCTAAAAAATTTTGCATTGCTTTGAACCAATCCGGGCCGAAGCACCATGGGGTTCCCTTATCTCCCGTCGTCCGTGTAGTAGTTTACTTAATCCTAAGTAAGTTAACCTAACTTAGCCTAGAACTCTCATCTCAAGTGCGAAAGTTGGCCTTGTGAGGCCAAAACGAGGGACGACTTAGGCTCCTCACAATGTATGTATATTTTCAAAAGGTTTACAAAAGTGCAGCTGATAAATAGTCCACAACAAGTGGTTTTTTTTTATAATATTTACTACGTTTACCTTCATTGATTGATTTTTCTTACAAGAATTTATTGTATTTTTCGATGTTATTCGTCTAAATATCATAAAACAATACAACTTAACAACAAATAAGAAGATTATATTCGGTCATGACCGAATTTTTTATACCTGTCACCGTTATCCTAAGAAGACACAAAAAAGTCAAAGAACTACATTTTCTTGCTCTATTATATAAAGGGGATCGGTTGATGTTGTTGTATGGATGCGTGGGCGCCGTAGTCGTGTCCTTGAAATAAAACTTTACTTCACTTAAATTTCTTTTGCAAATTCGTAGGCGATAGCTTCATTTTCGTTAACGGTGGAACGTTTACCATAAATATTACACAATTGCGCAGACAGACAGATGAACATGGCCAAGGATTTATACACTTCAAGGGATTCTGAAGTTTGTTTCCGTGACTTACAGAGGCATTGAAAAAAAAAAATTACATTTTGATACACTATATTACTGGGTAGGCGTGGTCAATTTTTTCCATTTTTGTACAGGTATTACAACATCGCTCATAGGAGGTGTATTCAAATTTCTCCATATATATCTGCTATAATAATGCACAAAAACGAATTTTTTTATTCCATTTCAAAAATACAAGTGTTCTCAGCTTACGCGATGTGGTGGGCGTGTCCTTCCGCCAAGAAGGCCCATTTTTAATATCAATCTGCGTACAAGAACATCCAATGTTTCTGCCAAATTGGAAGTCGATAGCTTCATTTTTGCGGCCAGGAGAATGTTTAAAACAAATGGACAGACAGACAGACAGATAGACGGACATGCTTAATTCAATTCAGAATTTGATAATGGGCGTTGCGAACATTTTGACGAAATGAATAAACCCCTCATCCTTGGATGATGTGTATAAGTATTCGTTCGCATTTAGATTTTCTGTTCATGAATGATACTGATTTTGACGCACAATCAAACACGTATAAAACAAAATGCACATTTATTACTACTAATATGTTTGTTGTAAGCATAGTTCGATCTATATTTTGCGCAAAGAATTTCTTTAGATTTGCTTCACGTTTTCCTTAATCTTTTCAGAGGAACAATTCCCCTGTTTGATGTGTATTTTCTCTTCCATTGTTACAACGTTCGCTAGCAATTACTTCACGCAATAAAAACAATTTTCTTGTTTTTATTTTTTCTTAAGACATTACTCTCGGTACAAAATTGATGTATTCATTATTCTTAAGTCGAAAATGTCATAAAGCATCTAACTAAACCTACTTCTTAGTGCTTGTGGGCCATTACATTTCCTCTATATTTTCTCTGATTGTTAAAAAGCATAGTTTCAAGAACTTTTCTCCCATCACAGATGAAATACCTATCAGACCGTATTTGTGAGTTATTCAATTAAGTTTGTTTACTACTTGTTTAGATCTCAATTAAAAAAAAAGCAAAGTCACAGAAATTGTTCTTCTTTCCATAGTATATGTAACGGTATAGTATAACTACTACTTATTACTATAAGGAATTATGTTGAGTTCTCTTAGTTTTTCAAGAAGAAAAACCATGCCCTTGTTAAGATTCTTAGATAATTTTCATAGCTATATTCATATCATACTTATTGAAACCGTTATCCAAACAACAATTCGAAAATCAACTATCGTAGATCAGTTCAAGTTTACGTAAGGCATAGAACTTCTGTTAAATATAAGCTTTCTTGTGAACATATTACAAGCATTGCTTCCCGATGCGATTTTTACGTTTCCATCAAAATAAATAAATTTGGAAAATTCATTTAAAATATAAATAAAGCATATTTGAATTTTTTTTAAAAAAAATAGAATAAATTTAAACGAAAACAATTAAGAACATTATAGCCGGACAGGGACGTCCACTAATAGGCTACACGATATTGTCTATGAAAATTCTTATGTTTGTATGAAATTATCGGTCAATTTGCATCATCGCATAGTAAAACTTGGGCTGCTCTGCCCTACAAAGGAAGATTCTTGTTAGGGCAGGATTATCCAAATTTGGTACAGTTAATTTTTTATCTTGAATTACTATTATGACCTCCTTTTCATCATGCAGCATTTCGGTTTTTCTTATATAAGGCGGAGCCCAAAAAATTGCTTTAGCAGGTCCAAAGTTTTCACATCAATCTAAAATATCGAAATACGGTTACTTAGCCCCTTTTATTGTGAAATTTTGAAAATTGAAATTTTATTCCATATAATGATTTTACAAAATAGGGCGTTGTCAATACAACTACTCCCAATGGAGTAGTCGAAAAAGTGGACCGATCCGAACTAATTTCAATAGCGTTCGTGGTTGGATCAAAACACGGCATTGGACTAAATTTCAAAAATACACAAATTTACATGGACAGACATCAGACGGATAGACGAACAAACAGGCTTAGATCAATTCAAAATCAATTTCGGACAATCAAGACAATCGGTATAAGAAAAGGTGAGCCCTTCTTAATTCTTTCTAAGTGTTACATACGCCTGCAAAAACTTAATATACCCTATACTACCAGTGTAAGCTATAAAAAATGAACCTAAAATTTATAAACTTCAACAGGATCCGGTTCCCTCCTTCCCTACATGAATGGTGACAAGACATGTAACAATTTTAATTTTAACTTATTTTGTTTTTCAAATTTAAATAAAACAATTTACATAAACTTATAAAGAAACTTTTACCTTAATTCATTTCATATAAATTTCTCAGTTAACTTACGTATTGGGTACGTTACGCATTTGCCGCACTGTTAGGAAGACAACAATTAGTGTACCGTTTCCCAGAACGCCAATGATGAATATCAAAGCAAACAAAATGGGGACAATATAAGTTTCCGGACGTAAACCATATGGTACGTAAGGTATTTCGGTGGCATTTATAATACTAGTATCCAGCAATGATGAATTTTGAGTATTATTATTAGCAGGGGTATTATTAAACAGCATCTCGTATACATCTCTACTGACTGCAACGTTACTGAAACCTTCCCAAACGTTGGGCAGATTAAAAATATAATCTTCCTTTGCTGCACTGGAATTGGTAGTAATCTTCCGTATACTATAGAGTTTGTTGGCAACGGTTGTTGTAATTGTGCTATTACTACTGATAGCAGCCATAGGATTACCAGCGTCGTTGTTCATTAAAGCTCACGGTTTAAAATGTACATACACATCGAAGCATTTAATCCGAAATAATATCACTTTTTGTATAGCGCCATAGTAGTTAGATACTTTTTGCCAAATAGAAGGCTGAGCATTAAAAATTTATCCGACTATGTTTAGTAACTTTTTTATTTGAAGTCTGACTTTTTTACTTTTATCAATGAATTTGTTTGCTTTTCCTTTCGTTATTTAAATAATTTATCATAAAAACTTTTGCAATTAGTTTGCTGTTCACACGATTTTGTCAACAGGGAAACAGGAAAGCAGGGAAACTCATAAGTTAGTTATTCTGTCAAAACTTTAAGGCCTTTTACCTTAAGGTAGACCTTTTTTTCTATTCGATGCTTTGATTATTATTTGCTTGGGCGTTTTATTTTCATTTTCATTTACACAACTACTTGTTTCAGTCTTCCCCCCTAACATCTATGACAGCTACGACATGTAAGAGTCTTTGGTGAGATGATGCGTCTCTCTGAAAGTAGAAAATAATTTATCGAAATAAATTCATGTGTAGTCTTAAGAGTATAAAAAATAGTTTGGAAACATTGCTAAGAAAAGACAATAGTTGACAGAAAGGAAAATTAAATTCGGTCGGAACCCAATCTTTTACACCCATCTATACTAACAATGACAAAAGAAGTAAAAAACGAAATTTGCAAACTCTATAATATGGAGTGGGTGCAGTTGATTTCTTCTATTTTCTATTGTCGCACAGGCATGTGGGCGTTGCGGGCTTGTCCCAAATTTTTTTGCAAATTTGTAAGGGATACCTTCCTTTTTACCAACGGGAAATTGTTTACCACAAATACAAACAGACAAATGGATAGACGAGCAGGGGGACATGTTTAGTTGCATGTAGTTGCAAATATGAAACTGGCCAAGAATTTATATATTTTATGAAGGTTTTCCGCTCCTTATAGAGATATAGACAAAAAATTAAATTTTGATACACTATAGTGTTGGGTAGGTGTGGTCAATTTTTTTCCATTTTTGTGCAGGTATTACAGCATCGCTCATAGGATGTGTATTCAAATTTTTGAATACTATCTGCTATAGTTTATGAGTACCGAGTAAAAAACCAATTTCTTATTCCTTTTGGAAAGCAGAGGTGTTCTCAGTTTACGCTGCGTTGTGAAAGTGTCATTCTATCAATTTGGCCCATTTTCAATACCAATCTGCGTCGAAGAACTTCCAATGTGTCCGCCCAATTTGAAATCGATAGGTTCGTGTTTGCGAGCAGGAGAATGTTTAAAACAGACGGACAGATGGACGTGCTTAACTCAATTCAGAATTTGATGCTGATCATCACAGACGAACAGAAGGGATATGCTTAAATCAATTCAGAATTTGATGCTTATCATCAATAAACACATTTTGTGGGATCTCTGAAGTTTTATTTCTGGGCGTTGCCAACGTTTTGATGAAATGAATATACCCCCTCGTCCTTTGGTGATAGGTATAATGAATAGTTTAGAAACGTTACTATGAAAACATAACAGTTAAAAAAGACCCCCTCATATCCCTCATATCACAATCTACTTGAGTATCCACAGAGTAGAAAAGTAAGCGAGACTCCTAATAATATATTTAAAATAATTTAATATCTACTAAAATAAGACAATATGAAAATGATATGAATTGCAAACCAATATAATATATATAAAGGAAAAAATTAAAGACATTGTTATATCACATTGTGCGAATCATGCAATGGAAGTAATGATTTAAAATAATGCACAAGTCATGCGTGTTTTTTCAAAAATAAAAATCTTTACAGCTATATGTTAAAGCATGTAAAGTAAAACGTAAAAGTTAATCATCGTTTGTCTGCATCAGTCTTTGCATGTGTGCAACTGAAATGTTAAAAATATATGAACAAAAAGATTTTATGTGGATACACAAGTATACAAACGATTTGGATAAGCCCTGATAGACGCGAATATAGGCAGAGTGCGCATTGAATTCGCATTTACATCTTGCTTCTCGGAAAAGTTCGTAGTTAGAAAGGAATCGTAGTAGTAGTGACCCTTGTAGATATTATAACGAAGCAACTGCTTTTTTACGATCTGGTTTGCAAACAACTCGTCGCTGCCTTACCATTATTTAAGTCATCGTGTGCAGTATACTATGCACGTCTTTTACATATACAATAACCTATCATTATTATTATTCCTCAGTATGATTAAACCACTTCTTCCTATTGCCGTTAATCCATCCGCATAGATTCCGTTCGCTATCTTGAAATCCACCCTTATCATGGTTTACGCTCGGCTCTCCAACTTTACTAACGTTTAATCCATCCTCCTCATTACATACATTTCTTGCCTTCTAACTCCACCACTGTTTAATCCGCTTCAAGTTTTTGTTCCTGAATTCATTACTGTATCACATGCACATACGTTTTTCAGCATCTTCTTCACTGATAGACTATTAAATTTATTCGCAAATGTACATATTAAATCTTAAATAGACTACACGCACACATCCATGCACTGTAAATATCTTCTTTGTAAGCCACTAGTTGACATTTTAAGTAATTAACTTATGGCAGTCATATATCAAAAACTGTTGATATGTCCTTTTCAAATAGTTCGTACGTGTGTCGAACCTCTTCTTCTCCTCTTCAAACCATTAAGGCATATGCGATTCTCAAATCTTACGCTCTGCTGCATATACATACACTCCAAACAGTTTACTTTATTCCTTATTGCACTCTGTATATTTCTAATCTGAAACTATTTGCTGTACATATATATATATATATATAAATATATATATATATATATATATACTTATAAATCATCGCTGCTATGCCAAATGCTTCTTTTCACTTTAAATCACTTGCGTATATAAGCATTTATCAAATCTTATCCTAAGATGCACACACAGATTCTCTCAATATATACATTTATGACTGTACTGCGCCTTATAGTTATGCCAAAACGGGTTTTATACACTCACTACACATAAGCTATCTTACTAAGATCGTTTATCTACGCAAGCATTGATTCAATTCGATTACACTCATGTTAGTTCTAAGTACAAAGCAAACTCAGTAACACTAACTCACATCGACCAAAGCAGCGAAATCGTATAAAAAGTCAGCGCGAATATTGATCGTTCTTTCATTCTGCTTCAGCAGTCAGCGAATAAAGTAATCAGGGTTTAACAGGCCCAATGGACAACGAATTATCCTATTTAAGTGGCAGAGACTACTAGTCCAGCTCCCATAGGATTCTCTTAGATAGATTGAAGATACCTAGACTGTTACTAAGGGAGAAAGCAGAGTAGTCCAACACTATGGGTTCCCACTAGAACTTCCTTGATAAATGGGCCAAAATGGATGGGGTTTCTTGCAATTTAGGCAAATGCCACTACCACTGCAGGAACATAACATCCTTTTCCAGAGCAAATAAACCTGGTAAATCCGCGAAGCTTACCAGCTGATTAATAAAACGAGTCGTAACATTCCGCGTGGCCACGCCTGGCGTGCTGGTTTTCTTTTCCCTGATTTTTATGCTTCGTTTTACCTCGTCTCCCTTTATTATTTGGTACGTGCTTGCAATTTTGTGAACACTAACGAGAGAAATTTACTTAAAGAAGAAACTAGCATAAGACCAAATTATATCGAAAGACCCGTCACTTTATTTCATCAACTTTGCAAATTTTCTTGGGACGGACTAACTGGAACCACATAAGTCAATCCCCAGCTATAAATATCATCCCATTTGGGATGAGGGCTATAGTCAATGTGTCAAGACTTTTGCAATGCCAGAAAGGAAGCATCACACAGTATATACATTCTTGATCAGTATCAAATTCTACTTCGATTTAAGCATGTCCGTCTGTCCGTCTGTTGGTTTGTCTGTTGTAAACATGCTGCCGGCCGCAAAAATGAATTTAAATTTAGCATAAAGACTAAAAGTTCTTCGACGCAGGTTGGTATTGAACATGGACCAATTCGTAAACTGGGAAGACCTGTCTTGTTCAAAATGTTCAAACGTTAGTTTCTTGCTGATGAACTCTAGTAGTGAATATACAAAAATTTAAACTCATATTTTATGGCCGATGCTGTAGCGCGTCTACATGGAAAATGGAAAAAATTGACCACGCCTTAAAATTTTATTTATTTTTTTTTTAATGCGCAGAAACAAGGTTCAAAAATTCTATAAAGTATATAAATTCTTAGGCAGTTTCAAATTTAGAATGCATGCTAAACATATCCGTCCGTCCATTTGTCCACCTGCTTCCACCTCAATGTTACGGACCATAAAAATTTAATTTTTTTAATTTAATTATCACGGTCGGTGATAAAAGATTCTGTCACGACCGAATATAATTTTCTTCAAATAATCTTTCCAGTACATTTGCCAAGTTGCTAACTTTTAATTGTTTTGTTAATTGCTCAAGGGTTTGTAAAGTGTTTGCTCTTGCGTTCGTAAGTGTCTGAACAAAATAATGAATAATGTTAATATTCTTGGTCAATTTAAAATTCGGAAACAAGTTAGCCCCGTCCAGAGTACAATCCAGAGCATCCAGGAGGGTAGGCGAAAACTTTACAACTTGGAATTTATAGCAAACATTGAATCCCGGTATAAGCGCAGCAATATAAGACAAAAAGCTATAACTTGGATATGACGTTTATGACGTCTAGGGCTTAGCGCAAATACTTGCAAGGAACAACTTTAGGCCAAGGCCCAATAGACCAATTGATCAAAGCTATCATGCAATTTTCATATAGTAAGAAATAGTTAAACTCGAATGCATCGCTTGGAAACATCATGAACGTTAAAGTCTTTAACAAATAGTGTTCGTACATATACAAGTATATATATTAGCAACTGAAAGATATTTTAAAGAGAATGAATAATAATATTTATATTTTTTTATTATTAAACTTTTCAGCTTTATTTCGCAGTCATCCCTACTACTAGAAGCACACCATTTCAATTTTAATTTCATTTGTTTTACGGTTTTTACGGTTTAATTGGCGTAAAAAAAATCCCAAAAAAGAAAAAATAAATCCCAACAACATCACACAGTTACATGAAAATTTGAAAACACCTCTTTTGACTATCGTTCGGATTATTTCTT